CAAGAAAGATATAAGGCAATGCTCTTGTCTGAAACTTGTCTCTTCGAGATTTGGGTGTGGTGGCATAGCATAAACATCCAAAGGATCTAAGATGATCATAGTGAGGGGGATGGTCATGCAATTTTTCATAGGGGGATATGTTGTTCAGGACAGTGGAGGGAAATCTATTGATGAGGTATGTGGCTGTGAGAACACATTTATCCCAATACTTGGTAGGTAAATGTGATTGGAAAAGCAAAGCTCTAGAAGTTTCTAAGAGGTGTTTGTGCTTTCTTTCCAACACCATTTTGTTGAGGAGTGTGAGAGATGGTAGTGTGGTGTAGTATACCTTGAGCAAAGAAATATTTGGACTCAGAACTAGTTCCTAGTTCAAAAGCATTATCAGACCTGAAAGATTGAACTGAAGTGTGAAATTGAGTTTGAACCATAGAGGTGAAAGCTTTTTTAAAAAAAAAAGAGCATTGCTTTTAGAGGAGAGTAGGTGTGTCCAAGTTACCCTAGTGTAATCATCTACTAGAGTTAGAAAATACTTGAAACCATTATAAGTGGGGGTATGATAGGGGGCCCAAATATCAATGTGAACCAACTAAAAAGGGGCTGAAGAATGAATGGTACTGTCAGGGAAGGGGAGTCTCTACTATCTAGCCATGGGACAAACAGGACATATAAAAGGCTGTTTGGAAGAGATTTTATCAGAAATGAAAGGAATGAATTTCATCCTATTATAAGGCATATAACCCATTCTTTGATGCCAAAAATAGTCTGTTTTATTGATGTGAGTGTGTGGATTACAAGAGGGACTGAGGGGAATATGATCATTAACAGAAGTAGAACTAGAACATGTAAAAACAGTAGAATCAGAAACACTACATGGTGAAGGTAAAGCACAAAAAATATATTGAACATCATCAACAAGATGGAGGAAATACATCCCATTATCAGCTCTACCAATTTCCAGTGGCCTCTTCAGAGAAGGGCCCTGTAAAAAATATTTAGAAATGGTGAGAACTGTATAACAGTTAAACTCTAAAAGTAGATGGTAAATGGAAATTAGATTGAATTGGAAAGAGGGAACAAGAAGAACATTGCGAAGAATTATGTCAGATCTAAGGTGTAGAGAACCAGTGGAGACAACTTTCACTTTATAGCCATTTGGTAAAGTTTTCAAGTAAGGTCTAGCTAGTGGTGTTAAATTGTGAAGTAAATGTTTGTGTGTGGGGGGGNTCATGAAAGTCCACAGAATTAACTATAGAACTACAGAATAAACCTGCAAAATTTGCATAAGCAGTGTTCTCTCCAGAAGACAGGTTATTGTTGTTGGCCCCATGGTACATATAAGATTGTTGTAGTAAACTCAGAAGGTGTTGATATTGTTCTTGAGTAAAACCATGAGAAAAATATCAGGAGTTGTGGAACCTTGGGGAGAAGCTGATGGAAGACCAGAGGAAGAAGCATCAACATGCACACAAGAGGCTGATCTTTTGTTCTTGTTGAACTTGAAATCAGGGGAAAATCCATGGAGCTTGCAATACTTTTTAATAGTGTGCCCAGGTTTCTTGCAATATTTGCAAGATATAGAATGATTAGGTCTCTTTGTCTCAAAGTAAATTCTCTGATTGAAAGACCTCTGACCATTGTTAGGTGCAGAAGAAGCGGAGAAAAAGGCAGATTCATCATAAAAAACCTGGAGAAAATGCTTTCTCTCTTTATTTTTCATCATGCTACAGAATAGAGTAGGCTTTACTGACAGCTGGGAGATGGGTCATCATAAGAATGATGCTCTTGACTGTGGAGTATGAATCATTTAGCCCAGCAAGGAACCAGAATAGTTTGAGTTCCTCTAGGAATTTAGGAAGGTCTCCACATGAGCAAACATGCACGACATAAGTTGTGTTCATCTCATCCCAAATACTGCGTAGTCTGGTGAAATATGAAGCTATGTGTGAGGTCCCTTGGGAGATAGAACCAATCTCCCTTTGGATTTGAATGAATTTTGACCCATTTGATTGACCATACCTCTCATTTATATCTAACCATATCTCTCTAGCAGTGTCACACCCTAAGACACTGGTAGCAATCTCTCTAGACAGAGAATTGGTGATCCAAGCACCATATCGTTACACCTTTCCCAATATGGGTAATAAGGAGAATCCTCAGTAGGTTTATCATGGCGGCCATTAATTAGCCCTAATTTGTTCTTGGCAGAAAGAGACACAAGCATGCTCTTCCTCCAAGCCACAAAACCAGTACCATCAAAAGAAGGGGAGACTAAATGAGTACCAGGACTGTCAGAAGGGTGCGCGTAGAAAGGATGTGAAAAATCTAAGGTGAAAGTTGAAAAACCCTCTGATGAATTAACTTCGTCAATAGCCATAAGAAAAACTCAATTTTAATACCACAGACACATAAATAAAAGGCTATAAGGCTAAGATTGATGAAAAAATACATGAAATTTAAGCTTGAGGAAGATAGTATCGGTTTTGCTTCAATTAGTCAAAATCAGCAGCAAAACTAAGAAATCCTCAGCTACTATTTCGTCATAGATGATAGCAGATACTTTGGAATTTCACCAGAGAACGAACGGAGTTTATTCACCCGCGCTGATACCATGTTAGAAGCTTAGAGTGAGCTCATGCAATGGGCTTCAATGGAGGAAACCCTAGCTGTACAGTAGAGAGAAAAAGGGAAAAGAATTATCGGAGAAAATACCTATTATCATTAATGAATCTCCTAACCTATTATTTCCGGAAATACAAGTATTTATACTTGTGTTACAATGTGGCTATATTTACAAAGGTAAAATGGCTAAAGAATATAAAAGCTATGTTGCTATATGTGTGTGTTATTATGTGGGCCGATGGAAGAGGAGGGGGCCTGGTCTGAAGGAGTCCGGAACTGAGGCCCAATCTGGTCAACAACATATAAAATATAATTAGAAAAAGTCTATCCAGCATAATTTCTTGAACAACTACTATTAAAATTTATTTTGAGTTTCAAAACTCAAACTCGAAATATTTATTAAAAATAAAGAGATCCTACTGGTATTTTAATCAATATATCTAAAAGTTAGCCTAGATATTACCGTGTCAAAGAAAAATGTAAGAGAAATGAAAAGGAAAGATAAAAGTTAGTAGTTCATCGAGACTTTTGTGTGTGTTATCACATTTTCATCTTCATGAAAATCCCTTTCACCTTCCAATCAATTGCTATAAGGTGGTCCAATGCACAGTAGCCATGCGTCATTGAACGATCTCTTTAGCCTTTGCTCCACGTTTATTAGCTGGCCACCTTTCACTTCATGTCCCTTTGCTAGCTCTTATCTTGTTATCTTGTAAGAAAGAAATATGCAACCATCTTGATTTGGACATGTTTGTAAGATGACATAAGGGATTCTAGCAGTTTATTTTGAGTGCGATGGGATTAATTTCAGATTTATTAATTAATTGTGAATGTCCATTATTGCTCCTAAAACTTTCTAAAAAAGATTATATACAATCAAGTAAGTAAGTAGCTTGCAAATAGCTAGAGCATGCAGTTTACAAGTAACTTGCAAGCAGTTCTGCAGGAAGCCGCTTGCTATTAGCTTAGGAGGAGTTCACTCATTAGTTTATGAACAGTTTCTGTTCTTCTATGAATAGGTAGCTACATCAATTTTTTTTTGTACATCAATAAAATCTCTCTCCCCCCAAATTCTTCTGCTGTATCTCTTAATTTGTATTTATTTTATTTTATAACACATACATTTTCTCTTTTATTTATTAATTACGAAGAGTATTGTTACTTCATTTATCTCAATTTATGTGATATATTTTGTTTAAATTTATTCTAAAAAATAATATTTTTTATGTTTAATTATACTTTTACCTTAAAATATTTATTTTATTTTTAATAAGATAATTTATAACTTACATGAGACTTATTTGGTATCACAAACTTCAAAGCGTCTCATCAAACAAGATCGCCTAAAATGAGATTGAGAGAGTATTTTCTATTAGCACAATTATCGAGTAATTCACCCACTAAAATTTAAGTCTGTGCAAATAAATCACCTAACATTTGTTAACTTAATTTTGGTCTCTCATAATTTTATATGTTTTATTCACTGGGATCCATAGGCCAAAATATCAATTTCTCTTTCATTTTTTGTTGAAACTTAAAAAGGAATAATATTACTCCATCTGTTTAAATTTGTCGGATATACTTTTTTTATTGATCCGTTTAAAAAATGATACAATTTTATATTTAAAAACAATTCAACTTTAAATTTTCTATTTTATCTTAATGGAAGTCATTATAGGCACACCAATGTTATGACCCACAACTTTTATCATTTATACTTTTAAGACCATAAATTTTAATTTTTATTTTTTAAATTTTGTACCGAGTCAGGCTATTTCATATAAAGAAATGGAAGGAGTATAAATTTAAATGAAGATAGGCAAGGGAACTCTTTGTATATAAATGTTGAGGCTTTAGGGAGTTAGAAAAATGGTCACCTTATTTCCTAGGGTATTTAAGGCAGCCAAAGTACCTAATAATGGACACTTGTATAGAGTTGAATCAGCTTCAACTTTCATTTGAGAGAGGGGGCTGGGTTTGGAGCCGAGAAGACTTGAAACTTTTTTTACTTTGTTCAAGAAAACTCCTGCAAGAAACTACATTTCTTTTTTCTTTTTTCCCTTAAATAAATAAGGAAAATGATAATTTTAAAATTTGCCATTTTGGAGGTGAAAACCACCTTATCTTCCTCTCGGAACATTAGACAAGAAGGAATTCAACTAAAGGACTTTGAGAGGCATTATTTTAGTCCAAAGTTGGTGAATACCATGGTTCAATTTTATCCAAAGTGACATTAAAGTAATCAAACTATAATAAAATAATTCACTTAAATATTGAAAAAATATCCAGTAGTCCAACTAAGGGAGGCTTGTGTCAATGGGGACCATCCCCTAGTTTGTCAAATTGCTTGAAGGATAAGCTTCCACCTACATGACCCCATCACAATCTTCAACAAATGCAAAGTTAAAGTCTCCATTCTCCATAGAGCCTTAACATCTCATATGGTTGAGTGGCAATTCCACACTAACTAAACTTCATGTGAAAAATTAGATTCTTGAATCCAATAATTCATCACCAAAAAAATTAGATCTCCATAACTAATAAGTTTTTGTTGCAACCCCACTATTCTTATTCCTACCTCTTTTCTTTTCACGTGAAAAACAGAAATGGATCTTGAAGAGTGGGAGGTTCTTCCTGAGGATGGGTTTCTTGAAATCCATGATGATGGTGGCAACAAGATTTTCTCAAGAAAATTTATTTCTGATTCCAATAGAGTTTTCCATGATTACTTTAGTTGTTCAACTCCAAATCCTTGTCAATTTGTCCACTCAACAGTGCACCCTAGAGTGCCAAAACAACTTATCCCACTCTCAATTCAACTAGAGCCAAGAATCCAGAAAACACAAGATGATGATCATGAGGTTTCTAAAGAAGTCATCACTACTCAAGTTCCTTTTGAGATCACCATTTCTGAAAAGATCAAACCTCCAGCAGCTATGATGGAAACAGAGCAAGATCAAGCACTGTCACAAGTTTTCTTCAAGAAAATGAAGGATACTGAAAGTAGACTTACAAAAGACATGAAAGTAGACTTACACAAGACCTTTGTGCCACAAATTGATCAGGAGTATCCTTTTCCATTTGAGGAGAATAGTGAAGTTATTGAAATTGACAAAGATATAGTGATCAAGAAAATGAAGATGGAAGCTGAGATAATTCATGAAGATAACAGAGGTGGATTAAACCTATTGACTGGGATTGGTGCTATCTGCTCATTTGGGGTTGCTGCTGCTGCTACCATTTGCATCATCTTCATTGGTAATCGCCAAAAACATAAGCAAAATCAGATGCTTCGGTTCCAGATCTTTTCTGATGATAAGGTGAGACAAAGTTTGACAGTCAATGTTGACAGAATTTGGTCCATATTATTTGCTCTTTAATCTTTTTGCACACCTTCAAAAAGATTTATAATAGAATATATCTTTAGAATGTCTCACTTAGTTAACGCTACACTAATTGAAACACTACATGTACGTTTGAGAAAAAATAACAATAAGTGCTCCTTGTTTTTTTTTTATATTTTTAAATGTCAAGTATTTTGGAACGAGTTTATTTTGCGAAATGGAAAATAATATAAAGATGAGGTGGTATATTAATTTTGATTGTTGATCTAATCTAAATAAGATGTTATGTGCGGTTGCAGAGGATGAAGCAAGTAGTTCACCACGCAAGCAAATTGAATGAAGCAATATCAGCAGTAAGAGGAGTTTCTATAAACAGAGCACAAATCACAGTTGGGGGATACTATGATGCTGTCTGAAGCAATAAATATCCAGTAATGACTTAATCAGCCTCCTGAGTCATTGTTATGTCCAAGTATTTTATAAATATAGGATCATTATAAATGCTGTGTAGATATATGTCGGATTTCCTATATTCCATGAGCTTAGTAAGGTCAGTTATTCTAAAAAAGAAAACAGGAGTTTGGTAATGTGTGATGTTTGGTTGTGTGTGTTGTACATGCAATTTACTTGTGGAGGCTAATCTAGGACTTGGAGGGTTCAATTTTTTTTTAATCGGTGGACCAATCTTTATTCATGAGAGGAAAGGATATGATACATTTGGGAAAGGGGGATTTAACACCTGATCCTTGGGCACAATCTCTGTGACTATATATGTCAAATAAGGCAGAAAACAAAGAAGACTCCTACTTAGACTAGTAGCTAAAAAAGCATCTCAAAATGTCTCACATCGAATTTCAGAAGCTTTAATTTGTCCGATTCTAAAAAAAAATCATTTCTCAGCAGCCCGCTTATTTGTAATGGTAATCCAGAACTATATGCAGGTGGATAAGAGTTGTGGTGGCTAGTCTATATCTGCAACTTTGTTCTCTTCCCTATACCAATGCTTAACCATCGCTTCTTTTTCGCTCACAATCTGCTTGACTTTGTCCTCGTTGATAGTAGACACTAACACCTTCAACCGCTATTTTAATCAATCCTCTTGTTATACAATAATGTAATCCCAAGAACATCTTGTAGTACAAAGGAGGAGGTTTGGTCCATTTAACCCTAAACCTAAGCAAAATGAGTATATATACCATGATAAAGGTTCCACTGCAATCTCTAGTTACTCCTCCTATCCCCACAAGATCTTTCTACAACTTCCATCACTGTTTAGCTTGTAGTACAAAGGAGGAGGTTTGGTCCATTTAACCCTTTTGCACATTCTGTGATAAATAGGTTGATCAATAATGTGTTGTAGCTTTTCTCATGTTGTTTTCACCTATAGCTGTTTAATTATACATAGAGTGATTAGTTGTAGATCTTTGGATAGAAGGGAGCTCAGATCCGTAGTTACTAGCATATCTCAGATTCCATCAGAGATTAGATCATGAAGCCTAGTGGTGTCTATTGGTGACATAAATCCAGAAAAACTAACTAGAACACCCTTAGAAGGTGGCAAGATTACGTTGATATCAAATGCACAAGAAAGGCAAGAAGGATATGTCTAATCAAACTAGTATTCCCTCCTGGAGATAACAATCTGGAGTGCCAACCTCTTACCCTTCTAGTTATTTGCTAATCATCATTTAGTATGCGATCCTTTGTCTTTCAACAAAAAATTGACAACTTAAATAATTAATTAGGAAGATTTATTGTTTCATTCCAGTCCATCCAGCAATACTGACACCCTAACTGTCGAAAGCACCAGGATCTAATAAGAAGCAACTCTTTGTCTTGTTTACTAACTGTCCAGATATAGCCTCATCGGCGGCCAAGATATTGATCTCTAATTTGATTGTTCTCTTCCTGCCACCGGAGAATATTATGAGGTCATTTGCAAATTCTAGATGATTCACCTGAGGCTCCCTTCTATTCATAGAGAAACTAGTAAAGTCTCCATAGTTATGTAAATTGTCCAACATTATAGACAGGTTCACAATACTGATAATACATAATGAAGGTGAGATGGAGTCTCTGTCTTAATTCATTTTTAGACTTAAAAAAACTATGCCTCTGCACATTAACAGTAGCATTGTACTAGTTACAAGAGGTGCTTATAGATTAACTCTACCCAATGCTCTGAAAAGCCTAGTTTCCTCATTATCTGATTAAGTCATTACTAGGCTACCCTGTCATATGCCTTGGCCCTATCAAGTTTTATGACTACATTGCTCCACTTCTATGATTTTTGAATGTCATTTAGAGAAAGTGCAAAGATTAATTGGTAAGATAGCAGCCCTCGATCGATTCATATCACGGTCATTGGAAACGGTGGCACAAACGAGTGGACACCGGAATGCCAAGAAGCATTAAAGGATTTGAAGAGCTATTTGACAAACCTACCATTGCTGGCCAAGACCTTAGAAGGTAAACATCTGTTGATCTACCTGGCAGTGTCCGAAGTTGCGGTAAGTACAGTACTAGTATGGGAAGATAAAAGTACAGAATCTCCAATATATTATGTCAGCAAAACATTGTTAGATACTGAAACCAGGTATCCTCACTTAATAAAATTAGCATTGGCAGTTAGAGTAGCTGGCCGAAAATTAAGACCTTACTTTCAGTGTCATCCTATTTCTGTTGTCACCACTTCCCCATTACGGAGTATCCTGCATAAGCCAAAACTCTCGGGACGACTTGCCAAATAGCAGTCGAGCTGAGTGCATATGACATTTCATATCAACCCCGTACTGCCATCAAGTTGCATGTCCTAGTGGACTTTGTCACTGATTTCAATATAGATATACTTTCCGAAGCGAAAAAAGAAGCGATAATAGCTTCTGGAACAATTCTGGGAACCTAGACCCTCTATAGAGATGACTCATCCAACGTGGAAAGGTAGACCTAACATCCTACTTATCATCCCAACTGGGGAAATGGTATAACAAGCTACTCCCTCCGTTTCAATTTATGTGAACTTGTTTGACTGGGCACGGAGTTTAAGAAAAAATAAAAACTTTTGAAATTTGTGGTCCTAAACAATTCAAAAAGGGACCCAGAGTATTTGTGTGGTTATAAACGCTTCTCATTAAGGGTAGAATTATAAGTTTAAGTAAAATTATTTCCAAATTTAAAAAGGAGTCATTCTTTTTGGAATGGACCAAAAAGGAAATAGGTTCACATAAAATGGAACGGAGGTAGTATAAAATACCATTCCATAACTAATAATGAAGCTGGATATGAGGATGTTGTTGTTGTTGCAGGAATCGACTAGCTCAGGGACTCGGGGCTGAACACATAAAGTAGAAGAGTGACTCTCAACTAGTAGTGAACCAAGTACATGGGACTTATGTAGCACGTGAAGCCCGCATGCAACAATACCTAGCCAAAGTTACATAACTCTTAGGTCAGTTCAAGTGAATGAAGGCAACCCAAATACCCCAAGAGAAAAAGAAGTTGATGCTCCAGACAATTTTGGATTTGTTGTCGGCGTTACCGAGTATGGGATCAGCCCTATTGTATATTTGTTTCACTCCTCCATCGATCAAACCAAAAATGAGGTAAACACAATCATTATAGTTTGGTATTGGCGTAATGATTTCATTAATTACTTGTAGAATAGGACCTTACCTGAACTCAAGATGGCTGCTCAACAACTTCGAATTTGGACATCATGATACTGACTCATCGATGGGGCCCTGTACCGAATGATGTTCGGTGGCCCGTTAGCTAAATGCCTAGAACCTGGAAACACATACTATGCAATGTGAGAAGTCCATGAAGGTCATTGTGGCAACCAATCCAAAGATAGATCACTTGTCCGAAAGCTAATAAGAGTCGAATATTATTAGCCTAAAATGGAACAAGACGCAACTAGCTTTGTCAAGAGATGTGAAAAGTGTAAACGATTCGCTCATTGATTGTATCAACCAGCCGAACCACTTCACTTGTTGCTCACCTCGTGGCCTTTCATGAAATGAGGAATGGACATAGTAGGTCCGCTACCACAGGCCCCAAGACAGGTAAAATATTTTCTTGTTTTTACTGATTAGTTATCAAATGGACTGAAGTAGGAGCGTTCGCACAAATCCGATAAATCGCATGCGATAATGGATCATAGTTTGTCGGGATCAAAATAACCAAATTCTTCGAAGAATGGCAGACCAAAAGGATCACTTCTACCTCGTACCACCCAGGAGCAAACGGATAGGCCGAATCCTCAAATAAGGTCTTGCTCAACAGCTTAAAGAAAAAATCTAGAAGAAGCTAAGAGAAGATGGCCAGAAGACCTGCATGGAGTAATATGGGCCTGTCGTACGACAATAAAGTCGAGCACAGGGGAGAACCCCTTTCTTTTTAGTGTACGTGTCTGAGGCCCTTATTCCAGTCGAGATAGGAGAATTAAGCTTAAGATTCACCCACGCTTCCGAAGAGTCAAACAACGAAGTTTTATGCGCAGCCTTGGACCTACTAGGAGGACAAAGAGAAATGGCTCTGATTCAAATAGCAACACAAAAAGCAAAGAATCGAGAAATATTACGACAAGAGGGCGGACCTTCTACATTTCAAAGTGGAGGATTATGTGCTGCGAAATTGTGTTCTCAGCATCCCATAAACCAAACATGGGAAAGCTTGGACCCAATTAGGAAGGACCTATCATATCGTCGAGATAAAAGGCAAAGGGTCATACAAACTCGAGAAAATGGATTATTGGCCCGTCAAGGCGATCTGGAATATGGCATATCTCAAAAGATTCTACTTCTGCAGACTACAACGGTTCTACTTCCTTCCCTATTCACACATTACAAATTCATTTTATTTTATTTTTACTAATAGGTTTATATGATAGGCAATAAGCACCGCTTCGAGTGATGACTATATTAACCCTTGGCAAAATTCTAGAACCATCATAGTTCCTAGCCAAGGTCGAAACATCTAACTAAAAGGGCTCTTGTTCATTCTTCATCTAAAAATTCTTCTACATCCTTTTACTTCCCTTGCACGAAAAGGACCATTGGTAGAGCAAGCCACGACAGGACCAAATACTTAGCTATATGCTGTAAAGAGGCAATACCAGTGCCTGAGCCTTTATTCTTCAAACTCGAACACTGGGGGAGACTACACCATATGGAACTACAGAAACGTAGAAGTACCTGGAAGACTGGAGTATAAATTGGAAGATCGGCGGATTTTAAAATCTCATAAGATCTTTAGATAAAGCCTCTCAAAAAAGCGTAATGGTCCATTCGATCCAGTAGAGGAAAATTTAGTTGTTTACTCAAAACTCATCTGATACGTTAAGTCAAAGAATGACTCAATAATATAATCAGGTTCACTACCCTATTCAAATGAATGAAAGTTAATTTCTTTTTAGAACTTATGTTCCGTTTCTACTTTACAAACATGCTTTTAGAACTTTATTTGAGACAAGATCTATCACTTCTCTGTGCCTAGAGAAATCACCTTCACTCACGCCAAACATACATAAATATATGGCCACTTTTATGCACAAACTGCTAAGTTACGACTAGCAATGATCGATTCAAAAAGCAATGAATCATAGAAAATTCTAAGTCTACGAGACAAAAAAAGTGAGAGGAAACACAAATAGAATATTTATATATGCAATCAGCATTAGACGAAAATATGGAAGGTACAACGAGGTTCATAAACACTATTTCATTCATATATTAAGGGG